GGTCGCCGAAGCGGTTGGTTTTTATCTAATAAATACACCCCTCCCAAAAAGTCGGGGCTTGATTGCATGTATTAGCTCTAGATTTACCACAGTTATCCATGTAGCAAGTCACCATCAAATAAACTATAACTGATTTAATGAGCCATTCGCAGTTTCACAATATAAGTTGCTTATACTTAGACATGCATGGCTTAATCTTTGAGACAAGCATATGACTACTGGCAGAATCAACCAGGTAGCTATCCAGTGGGGTGGAGTGGGCGTCGTGCGCCCACCACTCTTCCCCCCGTCCCGCTGCTTTGACACAGCACAGGCGTTTTCTGACTAGCTTCCATGATTGCATGGATCTAAAGATTGATGAGCCGGCGGCGCAGTAAAAATCGGCGTATTACTAATACGTCGATCTTTCCCACGCCACCGCCGTCATCCTCCTCATTCGCCGATCCTTCAGCCCACGCCAACGCGCTTCATTTCGGCGTTTCGGCGCGAGCCCCTATTTCGAAGGGCCCGAGCGAAAGCGACACGAATTGCGTGCGTCTATAAAGACTCGTCGAGATGACGGCCGGATCATTCTTCACGACCACCACCATCCCGTCGTATCTTTCACTGCGTTCACACTCTCCTCTGGTCTGGCCATCGGCAAGAATGTCCACAATGTGCATCAGCAATGCTGACTGCTAGCCCGTAAGAGCTGGCAGACAGTCTTGCGGAAGGAGAACTGCGTCGAGACGCTGCTCAATCCCTTCATCGTCGTCGTCACCCCAGCGAAGCTCAGCCTGCAAGCAAGCGAGCTCAACACCGGAGCTGTCCCGACAATGGTCGTTCAAGGGAACACGCAACGTCATCACCTCCGATGACGTCGCACGAGTCGATACACAACACCGTCAGTCACGTGATCAAATAGACACCCAGCTCTCGACGAGCGAACCGGAGGTGCTGCAGATGAAAATTTTTCCACACGATTGGCGACGTTGCGTACCAACTCGACATTAGAGACGCAAGCTCAGAAGTCGCACGACGACACATCAACATTGATCTAGACTTTGGCTGTTGCCGCTGCCTCGATCGATACTGCTTGTCTGTCTATTCGTTGCTCCAGGACTGCGCTCTCTTTATCATGAACAAGAGTGGGATAGGACATCTGCACTCTGCGCAGACATGTGCATGCACGCTGCCCTGTGTGCATGTCAAGTTTCGCCGACTCCAGATGATCTTACAGCCTCGTTCTGCGACGCCAACGCATGTCTGATGCCCTCAAGAGGTCCACAGCACCCACGTCGCTCTTCTGCTTCAACGACGGGCGTCGCTGTAGCCCGCACGTCGTGCGCATGCCCGTGTAGCCCACGTGCAAGTCGTCCTCAGCAATGCCAAGCTCCTTCATCGGTGGGATGCCAAGCTCCCTCATCGGTGGGAAATCAAGAGACTGAGCATGACACCGTTGTAATCGTCCCCCTTTCTCCTTGCAGTCCGAAATTCGACTTGTGCTCACGACGATCGTCCCTTGCAAGCCCAACAGTGAATGGCCATCCCACATGAAAGACGATCGAGCGCGTGCTCGAACAGCTTGATTGCAAAAGGACTCGTAACGACCATGCGCGTAGGCAGGTCCTCTACTCATCTCACGACTCATTGTCGGGTACACGCTTTCGAAATGCGCCCCGTTTCATTGTGAGGCATCGGCATAGAGTCTTCGACACACGAGGAGGGGGCGGTCTCGCGGCCTTTCAGTGCATGCGAATCCATGGTCCCCCAGTGGCGCTCGATTGAGGTCCCACGTCTGCACGCACAATCATGGGCTTGCCACGCCTGCTCGGTCAGACGTTGCACACCCAGCCTATAGCAGACCATCGCAGCTTCGTTGCAGGTCGGTGTGAGCCATGCCGCACGTCATGGGTGCGGCACCGATGACGGTTGACGATTTGGGTGCGCCCATGTCACGTGCAACGCGTACACGCTCTTTGAACTCATCAACTTGTCCAGCCACAGTCGAGACGTGATCGAGGGAGCTGCAGTGGGGCCCCTACACGTCAAGAGATCGCGCGAGTGCAGACATCACTCCACGCACGCCTTGCCACAGTGAATAGAGACACATGATCAATTCATTCTGGACATCAGTGCAACTCCATCATCGATATGAGCAGGATGATTTAGCAACGAGTGTGAGCGTGATGGAGAGCAGTCAAGGACGAGAAACAAAGCGAAAGCGAGGCAGATGGCGCGCACGGGGTATCGAAGCGCGTGCGCGTGAGCATAAAGGGGCCTAGCCAGGGAGCGAACGAACGAATATCTGTCCAGAGGCTCAGACCTTGCCATTGACGATGGAGAAAGCGGGCGAGTGCCAGTCAGGAGTGCCATCGACCTGCTTGCCAGCAGTCTCGTCGCGCTCGTCGATGCGGTTGACCCAGCCGTGCTTGTCTCCGAGGTCTGGCAGGATGCTGTCGCGCTTGCGCGAGGTGACCAGCTTAAAGGTGCCCTTGTTCGGGTTGGTAGCGGAAGAGCCCTTGTCGCTCTTGGCAAACTTGCTCTTCAGCTCGCTGCCAGAATCTTGGGCGTCGCGAATGTCTTGCAGCTGCTGGTCAAGCTTGACAAGACCGTCGCGGATGCCCTGCTCGGCCGCCTTGGTGAGCTGCTTCTTGATCAAGCTGGTGGCCAAAGGCTTGAAGATCTTGATGGCGAGATCGTGCTTGGTGCCCTTAATGGCAAACTTGAGCGTGTCGACCTTGGCGTTGACAGACTTGACAGTAAAGATGTTGCCAGTCTTGAGGCCAGTGGTCTCGATGTGGGCGCTGACGGTCAAACCCTTTCCACCGAGCAAAATGTCGGCCGTACCGCTCTCGTTGAGACTGGGGAAGCCCTTCTTCTTGCGCAAAGAGAACTTGACGCCCTTCATGTCGCTCTGGATTTGGGTCAGCTGCACCTTGATCTGGTGATGGTGCTCATCGCCCAGCTTGCTGTAAGCGGACAAGGTCATGTGGCTGGAAGCATCGATGGTGATGGCGTTGGGAATGAGGTTCTGCGCGTCAATGGCAATGTTCTCAATGACCAGGTCGACTGTGGGGTCGGAGAACTCGATGCGAGGAACGGGCACACGTCCGACGTGGGTGAGCAGCTGAGGCAGGATTGGGTCCCTAATGTCTTGCCAGAGGTGGGGCTAAGAGGGGGAAAAAGAAGGCGCTCAGAGTTGGCCCAATGTCACGCACGAATGGCAAGCAACTCACCTTGAACTCGAGCTTGCCGCCAGCACCAAAGAAGATGTCTCTGCCAAGAGTGTGCCACTTTTCGCCAAAGGCCTTGTTGACGGGGTCGTCTCCCACAGCCTTGAAGAAGATTTCGATCTGCTTGAACAGGTCATCAAAGTGGCCCTTGTACTTGCCCTCGTGCTCGCCCACACCAAAGAAGCGCTGACCCTGCTCGCGAATGCTGCGAGCTTCGTTGTCGGCCTCATCCTTCATGACGTAGCCGGGCTCTTGGAGGCACTTGCGAACGTAGGTGTCGAGACGGCCAAACCAAGCCTTCAGCTCGCCATCATTCTTGACATCCGTGTAGAGAGTGTCGAGGGCGTTGGCAATGGGCTGAGTGGAATGGCCGTTGGCGAAGCGCTCAATCAGGGTACGGAAGGAGCGCTCAGCAGTGGCCAGGTTGGATTCTGCGCGGAGATTCTTGGCATTGTCTTCGGTTTGTGCAGCAATGTCCGCGGCGTGGCCCTTGTAAGACTCGAAAGCGTTCAGGAAAAAGTCCATGGCATCTTGGTAGTCGCGGTGACGCTGGCACTCGACGAGAACCTTCTTCAGGCGGTAGATGAACAGGTTGCGCCTACGCTCGGGGAAGTTTTCCTTGAAGTAGTTCTTCGTCTTTTCGGCGTGCTCCTTGGCAATATCCTTGTGCTTGTCGGGAATCTTGGCGAGGAGCTTCTCCTTTTGCTCTTGAGCAGCCTTTGCGACATTGTCCTTGTTCTGGTCGGCCGTCGCGTTGGGGTCAATAGCCTGGGCAGTCTGATCAGCCGCCTTGGCTGCCTCATCCTTTGCATCCGCCTTGCCGTCCGTTGCAGCCTTTTGCGATTTCTTGAGTGCCTCGGGAATGTCGTCGTGGAACTCATTCTCTGGCGCTGGCTGGTCGACTTGAGCCAGAGCGGCCTCGTCAGGGCGCGTCTTGTTGGCAGTGAAGCTCGCAGCATCGGCAAAGATGTCTCGACCAATGGTTCCCAGGTCGCTGAAGAGCTTGCGCGCCTCACCGTTGCGACTAAAGTCAAAAGGAGAGGAACGCAGCGTTGAGCTTTGCGGGAGACGTGCTTGACGCGGTGCGAAACTTACAGGAAAAGCTTGATGAGCGTGCGGAACGCCTCGCCAGCAGTCTCTCCGTCCTTCTTGGCGTCCTCCTTGGAGACGGGGACTTGCAGGCCAACAGTGCCCTGAACGGCGCAAGAGAGAGAGAGGAGCAGGCGTCAGATCACGGGTTCGCGGTTAGCCCAAGCCGCATCGCTCACCTTGACGTCGGACTTGACAGTCGCGTGCAAGAAGTTTTGGAACTCCTCGTTGGCATTCTTTTCAGCGACCATGGTACGCATGGAGTGGATGATCGCTGTAATGTGCCCGTCACGTACCCAGCGTCAGCACGACGTGAGCAGAACTCTGCATTTGCGGCGTCGCGCTGAACACACTCACCGCGAACGTCCGAGATCAGCTTCTGGCCATCGGGAGACAACTTCGAAACGTCGACGGGCGAGTTCTCTGCAGTGTACTTGAGCGCTTCCTGCGATGCGCACAATGGCGGAGAGGAGGCGCTGATCAGCAATGCACTGCACACGCCATTTGCACAGGTAGCCCAAGCTCGGCGCATGCCAGCGACTTGCCTACCACGCTACGCTACACTGCGGCGAACCTTTTCTCACTCACATCGATCTGCTTGTTGTCTGGGTATCTGCCAGATCGAAAGGCTTGAATCACACCAAAGAACTTGAGCTTTCTGTTGACATCGGCGTCGATCTGCTTGGGGTCGGTCGCGTCAGTGACTGCGTTTTTGGATGGCTTGGCAGCCACCTCGGACTTTGCTTTTGCGAGACCTGCCGAAGACATGATGGGCTCGTGTATGCGTCTGAGCTGGGCGTGTGCGTGCGTGTGGGGGTGTGCCAAGTGGCTGCGGGGTCTGTTTCAGAGAGCGCCAGTCAAGCGCTTGCTGGATGTGTATGCGTTGTACGCTGCAAGTGTGCGTGCGTGTGGGTATGAGTGTGGATGAGAGCTGGTCTCGAACAAGGAGGTGGTGGTTGAAGTGGGCAAGCGTGCGAAGATGCGAAACTCCTTCTTGTAGGCTCTCGATCGAGCCTTTGCGTGCCGGGCGGGCTGCGATCGAGCTTCAAGGGTTCAAGCCGCAAGAGGAGCAGTGACGAAGTGCATCCGCACTTATTCCGAGTCGAGAAAGAGTCGTGAGTGTTGCGCTGCTGCTGCTGCTGCTGCTGCTGCTGCTGCTGCTGCCGTCGCTACTTCTGGAAGCCATGCATCAGTAAGCCGACCGAAACGGGTGCTGCTGCTGCTGCATGCTATGATGAAACAAATTCCGGCGACTTGCACCGTGACGCGCGCGTCGAATGCAAAGACTCACGACTGTGACTCGCAAGGTGCCTCGACGTCCCAATATAGCTGCATGCAGGTAGGATGACGTTGTTTCGGTTTCGATCCGACCCAGGGGTCCGAGAGCGGCCAAAGGGGAAAAGCGCGGCGATGAGCTGCGGTGCGGTGAGATTGAGATGAGCTATGGTACCAGCAGCACCAGCACAAGCACCATGCAGTGAGCACAGCCTGCGCCTCGTCCTCGGCCGGGCGTTTCAGCAGTGAAGGCGAGCGAATCAATAGGTCCAGGCTCGTCGATTTGGCAAATTCTCATGTCATCCGCATCGCGCTCCGCAACGCATGCATGCAGTCTGCTGGGAAGGGGGTCCCCTCCTTGCTTGCTCGCTATAGCTGCCCGCTGCCGTTGCCGTTGCTGCGCTCGCTGCCTTTGAGCTGATCTCGGGGCCTGATGGTGGATGGGTGAATGGTGCCCAGAACACGATGCACCGCTGTGCAGGCGTGGCAGCGTAGGGTTGCTGCTCAGGAGGGACGTCCGTCGACTTGCGGGAGCGCAGCGCAATGGACATTCGTGATTGATGAGGTATGGGCAGAGTCGGAGTAGCAAACGTGAAGCACATCATCGACGCGGGCAGCACACATCACACGCGCGCGTATGCTGGAGTCATGCATGCGCCGCGAATCATTCAGTGAAGTCATTTCGCGAGAAAAGCACCACGCGCAGACACTGCTGCAGCGCCACACGACTCCTCGAAGCCGCGGTGCGCGTCACAGCTCGCGACCACATTATGACGATGCATGGATGCAGATGATGTGTATCGCATTCGCAGCAGCAGCTGCTCGATCCTGTCTGCGTCTGCGTCTGCGTCTGCGTCTGCGTCAGACGCGTGTGGAGGAGAGCTGGATTGGCAATCTGATGCAAGCGAGCGAGCGAGTGCGCGTTCGATTGTGCTTCCACCAACACGCACGCCCCATGCAAGCGCGATTGCTGCTGCTGGGCCCAAAGCGGTCCGCGCGAAGTCGCGTTCGTGATGATGCTCGATCGAGTGCGGCCCCCCCCCCCCCCCCACGCATGCACGTGCGAGGATGGTGCAGTGGAGAGTTACCCCATGCGTGCGCACCCTCGCGATGGATGGATGCGAGAGCGCCACCCCCCGATGCGCGTTCTCATCTATTATAGCCCTTGCTGCTGGTCGCGTGATCCTCACCGTCACTGCTGTGGAGTCGCTCGAGTGAGACAGCGATCTTGGACAAATGTTCGACGCGCGTCGACGTACACCGCACAAGGCACCGATTCATCACCTAAGCATTTCTTGATTCTGCGCGGATGTGTGGACCCTGCCTGCATGACCAGCATCGCCGCCAAGCACGAAGCTCAGCCACCGAAATTTCTTTCCCAAACATCATCACTACATGCGATCAGCGACGCGAGCAGCAAGCAGCGCCAGCGGCCACGACTCGCATCATCGTCCTGACTCTTCGTGACCTGCATGGGTATGATGTTGGCTTTCTCACACGCGGGGAGCAACACCAAGTCAGGGACCATGCATCGACGAGCGTGGATGGAAGGCTGAGCTTTCTCTCTACCTGGCCATCAAAGTCCTCGTGCCAAGCCAAAGGGTCATAGCAAGATGTGTGTTCACATTTACCGATCGATTTGGATCTCAAGCTCTAGACTCCGTTGCTGATGAGAAGATCGAAAAAGCGAGGACTTTTCCCCGCGCAACCTCGCTCTGCTGCGTACGTAGTGTTCGTTTTATTTTTCCATCTCCTGCGCGCTGTTTATAGCTCCTTCACGGCGGTTGGAAGTTGAAAGGGGTCGCCGCGGCTACAACGCCGCATGCAATGCATATATAATGCATGCATGGCTTCAAGGCTCGCGCGGTTGCTTTAGCGCCGATCGCCTTTTGCAGGTATCAGCACTCGTGCGCGCTCGCGCTCGCGATCATCATTCTGCGCTATACTTAGCCTTATGATATCCATGACGCATGAGGCGTTGTTGGAGGCAACGGCTGTAGCTGATCAGCATGCAGCTGTACCCGGTACCGACTTTGCTGGTGAATGCACAAGCGATCGAGTATGTGAGCGCTGCGCGCGCCTCGCCAGATTCGCTCGTTGCTCGATTCACACTGCGATGCCCCGGTCCGCGTTGCCCTGCAAGTCGTAATCCTCATTTGCGCGACGCTTTGCAACTCTCTCTCTTTTCGTTGTGATCAGACGCTGACCACCCACGTGACCGTCCAGAGCGCTTTCGTGAACGAGAATCAAATCGCCAAGTCCATCCATCCATCCATCCCTTGCGCTTTGCAAAGCGGCATCTGGATCGAGCGACTTCGGTCTGCCAGCTTCGGCTAGTCATCAGCAAACGTGGGCGGCTATCATAGCACCATGCGCCCGTGCCATCCATACATCGATCGAGGGGGTCCGCCATGCGGGAAAAACACTCGGGCGCACAGCACATCCAAGACTCGAGTTCGAGCCCGCAATTGCAAGAGCGTTCAAGACGAACGCAAAGGGAGTGCCGGCGCAAGCAGTCCACTATCATAGGCTTTGTGTCCACCCAGCTTTGGCCTTCAAGAGAGCGTTTGAGCGTCCTTCGCCCACACTCGGCTGGTAACAAGTCTACACGCAACTGCTATTCCACGAGAATCGAGGCACACTCTAATCATTACAAACGTTCTCGTGCACCTCTCCGAAACGCTGGCTGGCTAGCTAGCTCTGAACGCTTCCATAGCCCTGAGGACACATCTGACCGGTGACTGAGCTGCCGGACCTCATGTAGCAAACTTGAGCCTGTCTAGCCTCATCGCTCGGAAAAGGCTTGGTTCTTGGAGAGTTGCGACCTTGCCGAGTCCTGAATGCGTCTATCAGTGACGGTCTAGCCAGCATCTCGTCGGTGACGGATGCCCAAAACTTGTTCGAGTGCAGCAAAGCAGGTGTGAGCTCAGGCGAGCCGCGTTGCCACACGTCTGGTCCAAGACTCACCGAGGCGTTCAGAGGGGCAGAAGTGGGCCACACGCTATTCGCCACCAAATTGACAGGTGCGACGTAGCTGCCTGCAGCGACAGAGCTCGAAAAGTTACCGTAAGCTTCCCGAGCGCTGTACAAATGCTTCCACACCGGTCCGTGGTGAGTTTCGGGCAGTCCGGCAAAGTCATCGACGTTGGTGTACCACTGTGAAAAGGCAAAAGAATAAGCTGCGGGATGTGCGGAAGCAGCAAAAGTGCCTGCCCACAACAAGCTCACCTCATCGTAGTCCATCACGCTGTAGGTCTTTGGGTCCACCTTGTAAATTCTAAACGCTGTATTGACGTTCGAGCCAGGCGTGATGGATGGCCCCATGAACGAGACCGCCTTGACGTCGCGGGTGGATCTTTGTGGACCTGGTACAGAGGCGGAAGGGGATTTCGAATCGTAGAATAGGTTGAATTGATCCTCGTGGGTGTGACCCAGAAAGATGTGCGCAAGCGTGCGAGGAGAGAAGCGCGTCACGATTTCGTAGAACAACGACGTTGGGTTGGGCAATGGATTCGTACCATCCCATCCTGTGACTGGCGAATCAGCGCATTCGCTCGGTCTCGCCTCGTGTGAAAAAGACGACTCACCGCTAAGAACGTGACCGACGATCCAGACCCTCTCTTCGCGCCCTTCCGCCGCGAATAGCTCGTCAGTGACCCATCGCAAGGTGCCCGAAACATCGGGGTCGGTAGTGTTGATAAAGTTGTAGATATTGCTAGCAAAATCAAGCCAGCCTCGAATAAGCGTCTGCTCAAAGACTGCTCAACGCGGTGCTAAAAAAACTCACCCCTTGTACCAAAAGTCGGTGTTCAGGGTGATGATGCGCAGACCTTTTCTTGGGCTTACACTGTAGCCACCGTAGTGCCGGCCCACCTGCTTTGCCTCCTTGTGCGTGAACCAGCCTTGCGCTTCAAATAGTCTAGCGAGATTGTTCCAATCGTAAGAGAACTGTCCTCGCGTGTCGCCAGGAATGGAGTCGGGAGAAGCAAAGTCGCTAGGTGCAGTGTCGTGATTGCCCACAGCGGAGAAGACCGGACCCTTGCCCAAGAAGCGCCTCATGCTGTCAAAGACGGCTTGCTCGGTATACCTCACGAGGTCTCTCGACAGGTGCCACGTCGAGTCGTGCGTAGTAATGTCTCCTGTATTGACGGTAAAATCTACTTCCCGACCGCCGTTCAGATGCTTGACAGCTTGCATAGCAGAGAGCGCCAACGGCCAAGGCGAATCGCACTTGTAGTTGCCCCAATACGTCGCGGCTTCGGTCAAATTCGATGTTGCAGGCAGCGAACCTGCTGGCAAAGGTGGACCGGACGAGACGCTAGAATTGAAGCTGTCAGAGCGGCAGCACTGACCTGAAGTGCAGGCTCCCTCGCCTCCGATGAAGAAGCGGGGATCGACGTGAAAGTCTGACAGGTGGAGAAGTCGCAGCAGACCGTCTTGATGCGTGTCGGGGACATCGTTGCCCCTTTTGGACAGGGAGGGTCCGGTGGCTATGGATGCCGTTTGCTCGGCTTGTCTCTTGGTCAGCGCGGCCAGGCGTTGCTTGCCTCCAAACCACTCATCCAAGAAGCTGGTGAGCGCGTTGCGAAAAAGTCAGCGAATGCCAGCAGCCACCGCTTGGACTTTACAACGCACCTTTCGTCGAACGTGCGTGGCTTTGGCTTGGAGCAAGGCGAGCCTTTGACCACGTAGCTGCAAAGGTACTGCCCATCCGTAGATCCCGCGCTAGTAAAGTCGGCATAGCTGAGTACTTGCGCATAGCTGCCTCCTAGATTGGCAGCCGTATATGTGCGTCTGCAAGATTCTTGCTGCGATAGACCAGATGAGGTGCTGCTGACATTGAACTTGGTGCACAGCTCCTGAAGAGCTCGCGGCACCAGCTTGGGCGCACTGCGAGCAAGAGTCTGTCCTATGCGAAGGCCCTGCACGCAGCGCTCGCATCGATCTGACTGCGTGTTGTTGAGAGTGGCGGACAAGTTGGCCATCAAGGTGTTGTAAAGCGCTTCGGGATCGGTAGCGGGGCTCGTTGGCGATGGCAGCACCGCATCCTCGGCGGGCGGCTCTGTTGGTAGGGGAAATGGCTGGTCGAGGGTGGGCGGAAAAGGTTTGCCGGATGCTGCATCCTGTATCTTCGGTCTGGGCTCCTTTCGGTAGTCTCCCGGTGGCTCGTAGTAGCCTCGAAACGCTCCCACAGGGAATGTGCTTGGCGCTACGTAATCCTGACTGGACGGGCCGGTAGCGCTGGTGCCAGGCAGGCTGACTGCGTAGGTGCAAAGCACAGAGAGGACGATGAGCGTTGCTAGAAGCCGCATTCTGGAGACGAAACTCGTGGGCGCAGCTGTGGTAGGAGGATCTCCGGGCGGGATGCTGGCGTGCAGAGCTTTGGATGAAGTGGGTGGAAGGTGCTGATACAGTGGCAGACGTTCCAGTCGTGGCGATCGCTCCTTGCCCCACCACGCTTGCGGGTTGCTCTGAGACTTGCGGTCCATAATCGAGAAGATGGTGGTGGTGGCGTGGCAGCGTCTTGGCTTCACTTGACGCAACGTGATTGTGCGGTGTACGCCGGCAGATCTGTCGCACGACACGCAGGGGGGGGGGGACAGGACCTCGAGAGGAGGTGCACCGGCTGCACCTTGGCCCTCCTCCTAGCCGTTGCTTGCAAACAGGAGGAAATTGCTTAGCGCGTCGAGAAGCAGACGGGTGCTTGGACCTGCATGACCAGCTCCTGAGCTCTGTGTGTCGCAGCGGACCTGCATCTCTGAGAGCCAATCCGCCTCGGCCCGAGAGTACTTCCTACAGCAGTCGAGGTCAGGAGCGAGGCCAGAAGAAATCAAAATGATTGCATGCCCAATAGCGAACGTGCGCAAGCGCGTTTGATTGTGGAGGATGGGCGTGCAGCAGGTTCGACAGGAGGTTTCTTGATTCCACACGTGATGTGGAAGGACCGCGCCGCGCGAACAACACTTTCGCAGCGATTCATCACGTGAGCAACTTTTCCGCCCCGGAATTCCGTCGCACGTCCAAATGAGCAGCTCAGATATAAGCTGCGTGCATGATGAAATGAAATTCAAGAGGAGCATAGATTTGAACGACTCGACTACGAGAGAAGCGTGAATTCAAATTTCACGGTGTGATTGTCAGTATTTTTGTTGTTGCGGCTGGGTGCTATTATTCTTGGCGTGGTATGGTCCGCTGAGTTGGCTGCAGGCGCGCAGTCCCGCGCCCCACTCTTGACTCCCCAGCATGGGCCAAGTCTCGAGAGCAGAGGCATTCGGCTGCGCAAGCGAGGCAGAGCCAGCACTCACGAGAGCATTAATTGCGGTTCGTAAAGCTCCTTGAGCTTGTTTTTACTAAAGCTGCTGATGGTGACTTGACTTTGTACTCCTAGAGTTGTATAAACGCATTTGTGCTCAAGACTCGCGTGGCTCAAGGGGCTACAATGAACGATTAGCTGCTGCTTCATTGCATCCACAGCAGCAGCAGCACAGCCATCCGGAAGCGCGCGGCTCGGCCATGGCCGCACGCGTCACGCACTTAGGCCGCCGCTCGCGCATATTTCGGACGCAAGCCAAGCCAAGCCTTCCATCCCAATCAGTCATTCGTAATTCGCGACTCGCGACTCGGCTGGCACCCGCAACTCCGCGAGCCAGGTTCCCCGCAGGACATCGCAGTCACGAGCGAGTCGGATCTTCCCAAGCTCGTTGCGGTCGACCTCGGTGCTCGACGCAATCTCCAGCAACCCGGGCTTGGGGCTTCGAATCACGTCGCGCACTCTCACCTCTTCATTCTCGCTGCCCCGCCAAGGATCAGATGTGCGCAAAAGGTGACCAGGCCGCCTTTGACCAGTCGCGCGACGAGGGGCAGTGACCGATCGCAAACGACGCACGCGACGCACACGGCCAGACCCATTGCCCCACACAGCCCCCAGTCACGATGCTGGGCGCGTCCTATCGCTCGCCTTTCAATGCGGCTGACCACTCCGACTCGCAGCACGACCCATCAGCGATGATGAGCAGCAACGGCTTTGCAGACGCGCAAGCGCTCCCTGTCGACGACCGAGCGCACGCCTCCTCGCACGGCATCAACACAAGCACCAGCAATACGACGCAGCCGCCGCCGCCAGCGCAGCAAGGCTCCTCTACTTTGGCCCGGGCCAATTCCCGCCTAGATGCAGTGGCCAAACTTCGAAGGGCTGCCAGTCAGCGTGAAATGCGACGGACACCGACACCGCGAGCAGTGACTCCAACAGCGTCAGCCGAGAACGACGGGGGTCAGCTCCTTGCTACGGACTCGAATTGTGCGGGAGCTGCTAAAGCCCAGTCCTTCTCTCCCGTCCTCGAGCCTTCCTTGCATGCGGCCGATGCCTCCTTTCTTTCCATGGCCGAGGCTGATCAGGACACCCCGTCGACAACAGTGGACGAAGCTCAGGCAGTGTTTGTTGCCCCTACCGCAGCGTCGCTCCTTCGGCCTCCTTCACCGCAAAGGGGACGTCTGAGCCCGTCCGAGGTGCCGTCTTTGATGCGCTCCCGATCTAATCGCTCACCCCTGCCAACGCTGGAACAGCTTCGCGCCAGGGTCTTGTTGGAGCGAGAAGCCGCCACTTCCAAAAGGAGCTCCGCTGCAGCCGCTGCTAGTGCTGCAGCTCGAGCGTACGCTTTGGAAAAGCTTCTGGGTAGCTCTTCGCGCGAAGGAAGGGCTTCGCCTGCGAGCGATGGCGAAGGTGGGCTGGACGATGGCGCGCCACTGATATCTACACCTGGCAGCATCAGACGAATCAGCAAGGTGGTCAGCAGATCCAGCAGAGAAGCGCCCCTTGGTGGTGTATCATCGACTTTGAGGGACAGCTCCGGTGCAAGCTCTCTCCGACGCAGCAGAACCATCGGTGGGCTGTCTGCGGTAGCTGAAACCCAACGCAAGGTCGCGTTCTTGCAAGGCACAACTCTCTTGGAGCCCCCGGCAGGAGAGCCACGCAGATCGAGTCGAAGGTTCGCACAGAATCCGCTGTCCCGCAGCTCCACCTCGCCCCCAACCTCACCACCTCGCGGCGGCCTCAGGCCTACTACAACGACCATCGCAGAGGTTGTCGAGCCAGCGAATGATGAACATCAGACTGCGCCCAGCACGTCTGGCTTGGAACGCAAAGCCAGTCAGCGACAGCTGGCCCGCGCCCAACTCATGCGCAAATTGTCGAATCGAAGTCAAGCGGCTGGACGCGCAGCTGCGGGCAGTGTTCACGGTGCTGCATCGACGTCTCCGCTACCCCCGCTGCAGCTGCAGGGCAGCAATCGCGCTACTGTGGACTCCGAGCCCCCAAGTGCTGGAGGCGGCCAGTGGTTGAATGCGAGGGAACAAACTCTGCAACACAGTTCAGGTCATCGCGACGCGTTGTCCGCAGCTTCTCCTGTATCTGCTCCAGGCACTGGACGTAGCGTGTACAGCGGCTTTGCTCTGTCACCAAACACTTTGGCTGTACCTGGCACGCCAGCAAGGACCTACGATGCGTCGCTCATGCCCTCGAATGGCAGGTCGCCGATGCTGCACCCTTCACACAGCAATGTGTCGCTCATCGCAGACGAGTCCGAACGCAGCTTTGCGCATTCTGGCGTCTCTACCAGCGCCGCGAGCATGCTGCGCTTTAGAGCAGAAAGGGACCGTGCGTCAGCCGCGGATCTGGCAGACAGGCAAGACGCCTTTGAGTTGGATCATGAGCTCGGCAACGACTGGGGTCATCACGCGACGAACATGCTGAGCAAGCAAGGTAGTCTGCGCGCCGTGCGTCGAGGTCGCCGGACTCTGGTCGACAGGGCTTCGGACGGTGACAGCGAAGGCGGCAGCCAGGGAGAGCAGACCAATGATGCTGCATCGAGCGATGACGCTGCGACGGACCTGTTGGACGAGTACAGCCGGTTTGATCAAGACTTGAAGGACGAGGAGGATGACGAGAGCGACTGCAGATCTGTTGCTGCGACCGCAATGCAGTCTTCGAAAGCGTTGCAGCACGGCGGCGTGTCGACGCCAATGGTGCCCCAGGACGCCAACATTGATTGGGCAACGCCGTCACCGCTGGGTCGTCATTTGACTCGGGACCTCAGACCCGAGTCCAGCGCAAGCATTCCCCTCACGTTGAGCGCCTCTCACGAACAGACAGAGTTCCCACCAGACTCTCAGCAGCTTCCTGGCGTCGAGCAGGAGTGGCAGAACACCCACTCGCCGTGGCCTGTCAGCATCAGCGTGGCGAGTCAGGGTTCAGCCCCGCGAGAGAGTCTTCAAGATCAACGAGAGGGGAGCGACGCTGATATCTTGAGTCAAGCAGTCGAGTCTCTTCAGGCAAAGCGTGAGTGAGAGCGCGCGTGTCGGACCGTTAGCATGGGCGTGGCCGTACTGACGATGCGGACCGCGGCCCGCAGCAACGCAATTCGCAAGTAATGCCGGCACTGCGCCATCTGCCTCGAACAGTCTGAGGCTCGACGCGCACGTCGGGAGGCTGCCAACGAAGCTCGACGCGCTCATTTCGCCTTCCTTCTACGCCGAATATGGCCACCCGCTGGATCTGCAGGCTAGCGCCTCGCCAGTGCAGAAGCGTGACCAGATTCCATCTCCCGTGGATCGACAACAAGCGCAATCTGATTTCAATCGTGGAGCGACGCCCGCTGTCTCAAGTGCTGGTCCAGTCATGGCGCCGCCCCGATCGTCGTCATTGCGACATCGGACGATGAGCTTGTCAGAGAGCAGCCTTCATGATCTGCGCGACGACGCCTTGTCTCGCGCCCGTGATCACGTCGAAGCTGGAGCAGAGGAAGAAGACTCGGATCTGGAGCGTATCGATCAGATCACCGCCGATCTTAGTCGCATGGCAAGTCCTCGTGCAGAGAATGGTCTCCCTTCACGGAGCGAAATGGAACGGCGCGAGGCAGCGGAGCAATTCGCAGCAGCCGAGGAGTATCGCAAGGCAAAGGGCCTCTACGAAGCGACTCGCAGCGCTTCTGGCTCTCCGGCCGCGCACCCGTCGCCTTCCAAGTCAGCATCACCAGCTCCATCGTCCATGTCACGCTTTCGTGAGCATCTGAACGATGAAGATGCGCCCGCGCGATCCTCTCTTGGTCGAGGCTCATCTCCACTTGCAGGTCTTCCACATCCTACAGCCACGGCAAGCTCTATTCCGCCTCTTGCCATGGACGCTTCGCGTCGCACTCACGCGCACAAAACCTCTCTGGTCTCCATCAGGAGCGCTTCAAGCCATCGTAGCCGGGAAGAAGGAAGCACTGCAGCTGCGCGCAGTGGTAGTGGATCGCACGCTCGATCTAGCCCGGCGGGGCACAACGCAAAGGCCGCTTCGATTACGTCCGTATTTGCGTCGCCCCCTGTGCCAGCCAATCCGGCGCACTTGCATCATCCGCCTGCTGCGAGCTCGGCCGAGCTCGCGACGATGTACGCCAACCACAAGTTGACGCCCTTTCCAGGGTTGTTTCGGGAGGACCAAAGGAGTGTGGGAAACTTGGCGAACGAGCCAACAGAAGCCACGCCTGCTTCCTTCGCCCCAGGACTTGCTGCTAGCAGACCTGGCGGACATCGCCCTGCAGGCTCACTCAATCTCAGCTCGCGCCCTTTGGCGCAGGCGTTCAACGCGACGAATCCAGACTATACGCCAAGTCCTGGACCGTCGCTGCTAGAGGAGACCGTCACAATCGGCTCTACCGCTACGCGGGACGTCGCAAAGCCCAAGATGATCGCTCCGTCCTCATCCTTTTTGCACACTCTGCGCAGAAAGGCTTCTGGTCTTCGCATCTCTCCCTCGCCAGTGTCGACGTCGACGCAAGCGGTAGCGTCTCCCAAAGGCGCTGCCCTGCACGGTGCTACGCATCGCAAAGAGTCTTCGAAGGACCTGTCCAACGGCTTGCATGACTATCCGAATGCAGCAAGTAGAATGCTGCCTGGGCTCGGTCGGAGGCCATCTGCCACTCGCAAGCCGGTTCCCCCTTTGGAGGAGCCGCCTATCCAAATCATAGGTCGAACTCCGCCTTACTTTTCAGAGAGCAACGCTGAAGACCACGACGTTTCGTTGAACGCGTCGTTTGGCGACTCGACCACCATCGATGCTGGCCAAAGCGCGAGGGAGGAACCAAGGACCGCACAGCTTGCTACGCTCACGCTGGCGCCGGCCACAGCTGCGATGCTACATCGATATAGTCATATGCTCACCTCGCCAAACAAAGACGAAGGGCTTTTGGTACCGGAACTCTCCCCAGCCCAGGTGGAACGGCCACCACGTCAGCTCGTGCGTGCAGCTCCGGTGCTTCAGGTGGTCACCAACAGCACTGTCAAAGATCGCTTCCTCTTTCTATTCTCTGACATTCTCGTCGTCGCAAGGCCAGAAAACCCTGCGCCGAACGAGACCCTGACGGTCGCCAATTTGCGGTGGAAATTTGCAGCAAAGAACATAATCGAGCTGCATCAAGCGAAGCTTCACGTCCCTTCTGACAGAACCGCGAGTGTCAAGCCGCATCCGCTCATGGCAGCGTTCGTCCGCCGCTTCCTACGTGATCCTGACAGCGCTCTTGATCAAGTGATCAGGCAATCCAGCTTGCCAAAGAACGCCGACACTATAGCGAAGCTTTTGTTTCAGACGCCCGAGCTGGATCGAGAGTGCTTGACAGAATACCTCTGCTCTTCCGCGCCTGGTCGTCGACAGATCCTCGAAGCATATGTTGGCATGCAGCGTATCACCGGCGTTTCGATCGAGTCGGCACTTCGAATGCTCCTGATTGGGTTGAGGTTCCCGAGAGAGGCGGATACCTTCGAAACGCTGCTCACGGCGTTTGCAAAGCGATGGACATCCTCCAACGTCGGCCTCATCAAGCAGAGCTTCTCTGCTGAGCTAGCGGGGGATCTGGTGCTCGCCATCATGGCGCTCAACGACGCGCTGCACACCCCGACGCCAGCGGAGGAACTAGCTCGCGCGCGTGGCCAGCCGCCGGAAAGAGAATATGTTGACACGCCTCGGCTATTCAGCGACCCACAGCCCATGCTCGACAAGCAGCCCTTTCTCTCAGCCTTTAGGGCGCGCGATCCCCAACAGGTCCTTTCGGATCGAACTCTTCTGCGCATCTACACTTCCGTCGCAGCCGACCCGATCATGCAAGCGAAGAGCAAGGATGAAAGCGGACCGAGGCTGACCGTCAAGCTGCTAGGCATGGGGATGCCGAGCAAATTGACTTATGGCAAGCCGAGCGAGCCCATCGTGGTATCGATTCCAGCTGCCGACCCGGAGCTGACCATCCGTCTGTACGGCCAGGAACTTTCTTTCGAGCCGCCAGTGCTTACATTTGAAAGGAGCGACAAGTGCAGCTTCACCATTACCAGCCGCTCTTTGGGTCCGCAGCAAGCCGTGTTTGTGCGGACGGGCAGGACAGCCCGCAATTATGTGGACAGGCTGCCAGACGACCACGAGATTGGCATCGCTTTCCCTCACCACGTCAGCCTGACGGTGGAGCGAGCTTTTATGGCGAATTGCTTCTCACTGACGCTCCCGAGCGCTGGGGAGGACGTGAGCAAGCGACGCTACATGTTCAGCGTCGATGATGCTGCAGCGAGACGGCAGTGGACCCGAGCGTTGAAGGACAACATCGATGCGGCCGTCATCGCGCGCAAGAACCTCGCGGATGCTCAGGCCGCAGAGCGAAATGCTCGTGATCGCGCCGCAGACCAGACAAATGTCCCTGGTCCAGTCGCGACTCGTCGTGCTGCAGAGACACTGGCTCTGCACGTCTTGCGAGAGACGCTGATCCAACCAGACAACAATGCTTCGCCCATTGCGACATTCGACGCGAGGCAAACGGTGCTGCAGAGAAGTGCGAGCAGCGCAACGCCAGGCAGTGCTAGTAAAGGAGCACTGGATTTGCGGGGCGGCCCTCCGCCGGCTCGCTCGGCCGCTGCTGCCGTCATGGCGGGCATTGGCAATGGTGCTACGGGCTTGTCAAGAGCGCCTTCGGACTCGCGCGTCGCTTCGAGTCGTGCGACTGCAGGCGCCAACACCTCGCTGCAAGCACCTTCGACGTTGGATCGCAATCAGTCCATCAGCAGGCACTACTACGGAGGTCTCGGCAAGAGTGAAACAGACTTGTTGCCGCCCGAGACAGCGGCGAGCAACTCGCCTGTTGGAGGTCGACCGCCTCTGTCGGCTGGCCTTTCACCAAGTGCACACGCTCCGGACGTTCGACGGGGATTGAGCCCCATGTTAGAGGTGCCTAGCCCTTCGGAATCCTCGTCCGTCAAACTCACCTCGGAGCCCATGCTCGGGGAGGAGCTGGTCGTGATTTGCACGCAAAATTCTCTGCTGCCTCTTGTCCTCGCAAATCGCCACGAGCCGCGTTCTTGACAGAGCGCTCGCTATACGGTTGGCGTTCGGTCTCGCTTCTGCCTCATCCTCGCCTTCCTGCCTTGGTTTCGCGACACCTGCACCTTTTTTTTCTCCTGCCTCTCTGCGCATCATGTTTCTGCTTCTCCTCATGCATCATTCCGCTTCCAAGTCATCATCATTCCGCGAAATTCAATTCTAGCTCCAAGCAGCTGCTGGCGAAAGACATCGAGTGCGGCACCTCTGAATGCAATGTAATGGTGCTCGCGCGAGATTGTTGTGAGAGCTACTGCGTGATGGGGCTTTTCCCTGCATCGAGTCGACCGCCCGTGCTGGATGGTGTCAGTCAGCATTGATGATGCCCAGGTAGCGAGCTGGGACCGAAGGTGGGCGGCACTTTTTCATACGTCATTTCGGAGTACCAAATCAAATCACGAAGGCGAAGCCATGCCAATCAAATGCGGCCTGTTCTGTCAGCAGCTATAGCAGCAGCGATCTTGAATGATCGTGAGATATCGCAAGTCACTCGTGATGATCGACTCACCAGAACACGCATTCTTGAATCAGATTGCTTGCTTGCTCGATCGATTGCGCAGAGGGAAGGCATGCATGCAACACGCGGAGAAGCGCGGCGGCGCGGGATGCCAACACCTTGTTAATTGTGGGCGCGATCGAGCGTAGGCGCGCGATGCTTGATTGACTGCTGCATGCATACGCGGCTGCGTGGCTGCTGCATAGGCGCCGTGGGGATCCTATATACGCGATAGCTGGTGATGCCTGATGGCTCGATCCACATCTGAACAAATTCAAATCACGAATCAGGCAAGCACAAATAAATACCTTTACTTGCCCCAATAATATTGCGATATCGAGTGCGTGCGTGCGTGGGTGCGTGCATGGGTGCGTGGGTGGGTGCATGCGAGATGGTGGTTTGAGCTTGGAGTCAGGTCCAGAGCATATACGCGCGTGAGCTGCATGTCTGTCTGGCAGGGCATATGCTGTGCGAGCAATTCCACGTCCTAGCAGCCTTTGAGCAGCAGACTCACATCGTCATCGTCATGGTGTTCGTGAGTCCCAAACAGCACGGCTTGCTGAGTGGCCGATCGATGCCTGGACTCCCACTCCTCTCCTCCCCTCACCTCACCTCACCTCGCCTCGCCTCGCCTCGACTTCTGACATTCCCATCCCTTTCGTCGCCCGTCCAGATCCCGTACCCGACCGCGCCGCATCCACAGCTCCCCTGCCCGGTCGTGCGCGCCCCCTCCTGCCAAACCGTCGCACCCCGCACTCGAATAGCCAAGCCGCATCGATTCTCGACCAGGCAGGCCACATACATCGTCCACGTTGCAGATCGCGCGACTTTGACAACATCATCTGCTTTGCGCTTGGGCGGCATCATTCTCGCTCACCAACCTTACTGCTAGCTCAAGAGCCATCAATCGTAGCCGAAACCCAAACCAAACCGCATCGCATGTCGGTCTTCAACCAGGGGCTACCCACTCTGGCGATCATTTGAAGGCTGACCACGAGCGCACCTTTAGCAATCATGACTTCAGCAGAGGTCAGCTCGCCTTATGACCAGTTCAACGGGGTTGGTCAAGCGGGCAGCAGCGTGGGTGCCAATTCTTGGGTGCACGGGACAGTGCACCCCACCGAGTGGAGCTTGAACGATGTGATCAGCTGGTTGGGCACGCTGTCTCCGCCTCAATCATGGCACTCGACATCCTTTAGGCAGAATGCCATTACCGGAGACGTGCTGCTCATGCTGGACAATGACGCTTTGCTGGACATGGGCATCGCATCCGTCGGTCATAGATTAACGCTGTTGGGAGCCATTTGGCGACTAAAGCAGAATTGGGGCGTGACCATCGAAGAGGGAGATTGGAAACCCGGAGGTGTGTAGCCCTGGTGCAAGCGAGCGGGAGATGAGGCAAGATCGCCGCATGTGCGCGTGGCGTGCCCGACTCGCCCTGTCGCTTGGCTGTTCGTGTCCCTCGACCTCTCCCACTGACCCCACCTTCCCCCCTCTGCAGCTTCCACGCTGGACGGCTCGCCAGACACTTCTCTGCCCGCCCTCGTCTCAGCTCTGAGGGTGCGCGACGATCGCATACGCACGCTCGAAGGCGAGATTGCCAAATTGGCAGACTACCTCAGCCGCTTTCAGCACGATTTCGCCAGCGTGTGCAGGATCTTGGGCGTCAAGGTGAATGGGAGTCGTGCCGAAGCGATCTCGCCGCCTAGCTGATGTCGATGCACTTCGCTCACAGAACCCGTCGTCGGAGCATCCTGCGCCGAGACCAGATCCCTTGCTCTTTACACCCGAGTCGACCTTATCCAACCTCGCGCTTCCCTCGCCCCGCGGTGCGAATGGCTCTCATCATCCAGTGCCTGCCACAACAGCACCTGTTTCGAACGCTCAGCATCATCAGCCCGACTCGCCACGCAAGCAACCTCTAGGCGTCAATACGTCACACTACGACCAGAGCTACGCTGGTCCCACCAGCGCTCTCAGTTACGGTGGTAGTAGCGGAGGGGCGTCCGCATCGGCTTCCGGCTCAGGATCCGCGAATCACTTTGGCTCGCTACAGAATGCGAGCTCGATGCTCGATGCCGCATCCGATGATCGCGAAGGTGACACTCTGGTCCCCCTGGGTAAAGCGCGCACTCCTACGAGCGCGCACTCTCTCACCGGTTCGGTACCGAACACGGCCGGCATACCCTCGGCTGTCTCGGGCACCAGCACCAGCATGGGCTCTCACTCGGGTGCGCCTGGCAACAGTCCCACACGAAGCGTCACTGGTGCAATGAGCTCCACGGGTCTGGGCGATGAGCCTAGCAGCAGCCCTACAGCGTCCACACCTGGTGCAACGCCCACATCTGCTCTTCCACCCGGCGTCTCGAGGTTGGGCACTGCGGGTCAGCAAGCAGCGGCGAACAGCAGCTCATCGCAACCTCAGCACAGTCCATTGGCCAGCACCTCGGTAGCCACGTCGCGAAGAGCCTTGGCAGCGCCCAACTTGGGCAGCTCTAGTGGCGGGCCGAATTCAGAGTCCACCGCTCCTGCAGTCGGTTCAGTTTCTGCTAATGGGTGTGCAGTGGGTGCCTCTGCAGGGTCAAGCAGCATCTCGTCGGGCGCACAAGAGTCCAAGTCGAGCAATGCAGGTAGCAGTGCTGACAATCCTTACAAGAGCTTCCGGGTCACTCTGGACGACCCGTGCCACAAGGTCTTGCCCGCTGCGCTCAAAAAGTACAAGATCAACGACGATTGGAGACAGTACGCTTTGTTCATCTGCTATGGTCAGACTGGTGAGTGGTTGTGTGCCCTGCAGGCATGCGATTGCGTTGCCAATGCTAATCGTGCGGCTGCCTTTCGTGATAGAACGCTGCCTCAGCTACGACGAAAAGCCACTTTTGCTGTTCCAGAAGCTCAAAGAAGCAAAGCAGAATCCAGTCTTTATGCTGCGACATATCCGCGACGTCAAGTCGCCAATCGCAATTGCCAATGCGAAAGCTGCTCAGCGGAAGAATAGTCTCGGAAGCGCAGCCAGCAAGGAAGGAGCTGCGGAGACCACAGACGCGGCTGGCGACCCTCATTCTGGCAGCTCGGGCAAATCTCAGGCGAGCAAGGGCGGAAGCCCGGGAGGTGGCAGGGTGGCGGAAGCTGTGGCCAAGTTCGGAGGAGGAGGAGGAGGAGGGGCGGGGGGCAGCGGAGGCAAAGCAAGGGATGGGACGGGAGAAGCGGAGGATCGCGGCGGAGAGGATGGCATGGTCGTTGCGGGCGGACAGAATGGCGAGCCCTTCATCAGTGGCCCCGCAGCCAGGTTGCCGCCGGCAACTGCACCTCCAACTTACGCCATTGCCATCTATCCATACGTCTCCGAAAGAGCAGACGAATTCGATGTTGGCGTTGGCGATACCTTTGTCGTCCTTAGCAAGGCCAAAGGATGGTGGGTGGTGCAGCGCGACACGAAAGCGATGGGCAAGGGTGATGTGGTCCCACGGAAAGCCGCTTCGGAATCCGGTACGCCGTCTTCCTCCGGCTCAGGGGGGTCATCTGGAGGAGAGATCAAATCGGGATGGGTGCCTGCTGGATGCTTGCTGGAAACCAACAGACCTCTAGCCGGCGTACTTGGGAGACCGGAAGCGGACCCTTCGACTGCCGTGGATCCCAATACTCCGACGGCGTGGATTTCCCAGGAAAAGAAGGGCTCGGATCCCATTCCTCCCGCTGTCATCACCAGCACCAGCACGCCTGGAATCATGCTCATGGACTACGCGGCACCCGAAGATCGACTGGACCTCAAGAAGGACGATCGTCTGCGCGTCTTCAAGAGGTAGGTCTCCGCTCGCACGGCGGTCAGCCCGCATCCTTGTTGACCTCATCTCTTGGCCCGTCCTGCAGGTACAATCACTGGTCGTACTGCGTTGCCGAAGCCGAGGGTCACGCGCGCGGTTGGGTCCCTTCGTGGTGTGGGTGCATTCCTGCAACTTTAACCCTGCCGAGGTTTGCGACTGATAACTTGCTCAAACTTTGCACTTCGTCTAGATATCGGCAAATTGTCAGGAAGTGGCTCGCAACGTCACGGATCTGCATCTGGGCCGTCAGGTTCTGGTGGTGGGCGTGAGAGAGAGGCCAATGCTAGTGCCACATCGCCAGCCGACAAGGATAAAGATTCTGCGGTGCTATCTCCGGCGTCATACAACGGCACGTCGACGGATGGTGCCACGTCTACCCATGCGCCTACGTCTGCTGCCGCTTCGAATTCGACGAGCGCTTAAAGTGGCCTGGAAGCAGCCACGAATGTGTGAAAACGTATCGTCACGATACCAGCAGCACGTCGCTCGCAGCGACATCTCTACGGATTCGGTTCCTTCCGTCTTGCTGCAGTCCAACGTTCCTGTCCCTGCACGCGCTTCATGATTGCAATCCCAAACTTGGTCGCAAATCTCTCAGATATGCAACAGCGAGATGACCTGACAGCTGTGCTGGGCGCAATAGTGGTGGGAGCTGCATCGCAATCCGATGCTTTACTCTTCGGCGGCGCAAGGAGCGTCCTGTGTTGTCCGACAAGAAGCGCAGCAAACGGTTTCTCGATCTTTTGCTCACTTTGTCTGCCATGCACGTCTTGATCCATTTTCAGGCGCCGCGGAAAGCCGCGCGGCCTCTGCACGGTCGCGGTCACACGTTTATGACGAGCAGTCTGTTCGAGCTGCATCAGACCTCATTGAAGTTCCATATGGTCCTGGCGCTGCAGCTCTGCCAGCTCAGATGCCCCGACTACATGCACTTTGTAGTAAGGACGTACTCGATCAGAGCTTGCAGATTCCACTTGATCTATTGCAAAAGTCACCTGCTATTCGACATCGAGGGCGAGCAGTACGCTGGTCCGTGTGGCTACGACTCAAAAGTTGTTGATGACAGCCTGAGTGAATTCCTTGGTCTTGGCGTTGCCTCCCATGTCGGCAGTTCGAACCTTGCCTTCTTGGATGACTTTGTAAACGCTGCAGGAGACGATTTCGAATTTGAAAGAAAATCTACATCAGCTTGCATCGTGGCGAGAGTTACCGAGCAAAGCGCATCATCCAAACTCACCTCTCCGCAATTTGGTTTGCGTGCGCATCCAGTCCGAGGTGTCGCAACATCATGGTGGAGCTGAGGAGCATAGCAGCAGGGTTGGCAGTGCCTTTGCCCATGATGTCCTTCGCAACGTGTCTGCAACCGGGTTCGTACAGCGCGTACTCTCTGCCAATGTTAGCTCCTGGCACTGTGCCCGGTCCACCGACCAGAGCTGCACCAATATTGCTGACAATGTTGCCGTACAGATTGGGCATCACCATCACGTCGAATTGTTGCGGACGACCGACAAGTTGCATCGAGCTGTCAAGTCCAGGTCGGGCATGGTCAGGCTATCCTCCCGCGTGCCTGCGGCGTCCCGAGAGCAAATCATCCCACGACTCACGTGTTGTCGACAATCATATCACCGTAGGCGATTCCGCTGCTCTCGTACTCTTTTGCCACCTGCCTAAAAGTGTTGAGAAAGAGACCATCTCCCAACTTCATGATGTTGGCCTTGTGAACGCAAGTCACCTTTTTGCGTCCATTCTTGAGGGCAAAGTCGAACGCGAATCGGCAGATGCGCTCTGCTGAAGCACGCGTGGAGACTTTGAGCGACTCGACCACGCCGGGGTAAGACTGCCAGTAGAGGCAGAGGATGGCGATGCCGGGTGTCAGGTCGGAGCAGGTACATTCGTCGGTCATAGCTTGGTGCGCTGTTCGCTCACTCACCTGGTGCTCCAGACCAGAGTACTCTCCTTCGGTATTCTCACGAATGATGGCAAAGTCAACATCCTTGTGACGGGTAGGATAGCCAGGCAAGGATTTGCAAATGACCAAAGAAGCGTAAATGTCGAGTTGCTGACGCATGGCCACGTTCCAAGAGTTGTGCGAGGTGGTGTCGATGGGAGTGAAGAGAATGCCTGAGTTTCCAATTTGATGCTCTTGGCGGTCAGTCGTCTCTGCCAAATTTGTGCTGATGCCTTTGTCCCTCCTTTGCCTCGTTCCTGCTCACCTTTGAGACCAACCTTGTTCCTCCTCAGACTTTCCATGGCCTCCTTGAAGAGCGACTCGCTGCCGTGCGTTTCTCCAGAGACATTGAACTGCTCCCACTCGACCGGCACGTTGAGCACCTCAAAGACCTCCTTGACTGCTCCAGCAATCTCTGCTCCGATACCATCTCCTGGAATCAGCGTTACAGTGTACACGCCTTGTTTTGCGGATGAAATGCGGGGTCCAAATCCATGTCAGTTCACAGTACAGTATGCCTCTGTTGGAACGCTGTCGCTAGACTCACCGCCATACTGCAAACGCCATTTGTGAGCGATGCAATCACGCAAAGCAGGCGTCAGCGCAACAAGAGCGATGCTGGCATTGTGCGATCAGAGATTTGGTTGGGAGGTTCAGCTCACCTTTGTGGGACCTGCGTGGGCCGGTACGCGGGCAGATCCAGCAGTCAAGGTGGTTGCCGACCTGGCCAGAGTGGGCAGAGCCAAACGTGTAGCGGCAGAGATGGGTGTGGTGGGCACGGTGGCCTGACGCAGAGCAGGCGCTGCTGCCGATCTGATCAGATTGCGCATCGATGCCATCTTTCGAGGCGTGGATGAGATCTGACAGGCAGTAGGAATGGAAAGAACAAAGATGGGGGCTGTGTTGCGCGCAACCAGCTGCTGCCGTTGCGTAGTGAAGGGAAAGGAGAAGGTGATGAGGTGTAAAGAATGATCACCAATCGTGAATGCGAATCGACAAGATCTGTGCTTTCGGTGCGATCGCAAACGGCACCAAGCAGGAAGAAATGATACAGCAAAGCAGGCCCACCAGCAGCAGGCGCGGTGCATCCATCGTCCGCGATAACACCCATGCACCGCGTGCTGCACCCGCGCGGCGAGTAAGTTCCACCCAGCACCCTCATCAGAGCCCCGGCAGCCACGGCAGCAGCAGGCCGTGCTTCTCTCACTTTGACTGTTGCCCGCCCTAGCTGCTGATCTCGGCTTCATGCACCCAGCCAGCCAGGGACGCCGCGCCGAGCGCACGATCGAGCAAACTCTTCGGTCACGTGCTTCCCTGTGCGCAGCGATGGAAGTTTGAGTATAGGCAGCAGCACCCGAGACTTCATCCTAGACCAAGGTCACTTAATTGCACTTACTTTTGACTCTCTTTCCACTCGCACACTCGCAAAGTCATTGTCACGAATTGAGAGCACGTGGTGGAGCTATGGCGTTCGTCATGCGAATTCGTGTTGCAAAATAGCTGTTCGCCATTGACGAATCAAGAGTCTGACTTGGATATTGCGCGTCTAGCAACCCACCGCGAAGAAAAGATTCTCCCTGGCGATCACTCGGCAATGTGATGCAAAGCTATGGCGTCACCACTCTCCCCCTCCCATCCTCCTCTTCTCTTTCGCGAAACTAGTCTCGTGCCGGATTTGATTCACGATTGGCTTCAAGCGGTCAGAAGTACGACACAGTCTTGTCCCTCGCGCTGCTTGCCTCAGCTTCACAGGCACAAACCCGGTCAATGAACTCCTTGAGAGATGGCAAATTGATCGATGGCTACGTAAGTGCAGATTTGGACTGAAAAGTGCTTTGCGCAGACTTGTTGCTTGAAGAATGAAGAAGTTTGAACTGAAGTTGTGCCTTCAAATTGTGGGCAACAAAGAATCAAGACTGTTGCGGGCCTTGATTGGGCCTGGGCGCGGGCGTCAAATGACGACGTCGTCATCTTCTTCGATTGCATTCACATTCAGCGGGGCCATTGAACTCTGGTTGCGAGGCTAGGGCGCGTGCAAGTGGGTGAAAGGCTCGGTGGAAACATGTGCACTGGACCATGAGGACTGTGAGCCGAAGGTGAAGGTGATCAAAGGCTTGACTGCCAACCGCGGTGACGATGACGCAACGTTTCCGATCGGCGGGGTAAACCTCAAACGAGTTTCTGCGTGAAGCTTTCGTGGAGAATCGCATTCGCGTCAAGTCTACGAGACAGTCTTGAGGGGCTGCAAGAAAGCCCAGGCATTCTGAATTCAATTCGCACAAGAGCTTCAAGAAGCAAAGAACTCGTAAAGGTAAAATGGTGGACAGGCCGCGTGTAAAATGGCGCGGTGCAGCCAGATTTCTAGCATTGCGTCATGTTGGCCAGACAGGCGCTCCTCATCCGAGCAAGCTCACGCTGGCGCGCTTTATCATCCGATGTGAAATAAGATGTGCTTCGACGTCGGATTTCTTGGCACTCCCTTCGACTTGCTCACGCTGGCGCGCTTTCGAATACATGCGGAAACCACGCAATGTGAATGATGATGAATCACACGAATGGATGATCGATTAAGAGACAGAAGAGAGAGAGAGGTGTTTACATGCTTGATACATGGATGGATGCAGGGGTCACGTAGGTGCATGAGTCAACCGAGTCACGTGATTCAACAAATGAATGGGTGCAGAGCACGACGTAGAGGCAGAATTGGTCTGTGTTCATCAAGAGTAGTACCGGTAGTAGCATCGTTGTGCGCGCCTGCTGCTCATCCGCGGGACAGAGAGAGGCGCTGTCAATGATTGCGAAGATTTGAGGGAGGGGAACAGCGAGCACACTTCCGCGGATGTCCGTCGCACCGCGCAGCAGGCAGCGTGCACAATTAGGCGCACTTCAAGAAACTCGCTGTTGCTTCCTTGCATCAAGGCACCGCAATGGCTCGTTCCCAGGCGCGGAGCGGGCAAGCACATCTCTTCCCTCAACACCTCCACGATGGCCCACGCATGATAGTCCATCAGTCTCCACATCGAGCATCATGAGCGGACAAGCATCGCTTGCGGCTACCGCTTCATCGAGCACACGGCCGGTAGAAGCGGGTAAAAGGAGCCTGTTCCGACCTTGCATCGACCTGCACGGAGGAGTGGTCAAACAAATCGTAGGGGGCAGTCTTCGAGACGACCAAGCAGCTGACGGCCAAGGGCGCACGGCAAAGCAAGACGCTGCTCTGCGCACAAACTTTACGTCCACCTTTTCTTCTGCCCACTATGCAAAGCTGTACAGGCAGCACGACCTCAGGGGTGGACACGTCATCATGCTCGGGCCTGGTAATGCGGATGCCGCCCGAGAGGCTTTGCGGGAATGGCCGGGAGGATTGCAAGTGGGAGGAGGCATCAACGAGTCCAATGCCAAGCAGTGGGTGGCTGATGGCGCCGAAAAGGTGCGTGGGAAAGGGCGCGGGAGGCCGTGGCGGATAGCAGGCTCGAGCAATGGCTTCACAACGCAACACACGTGCGCTTTGGCGATTCGAACCGCTGACTCGGACTCTTTGTGCTTGATGCCGCGCTGCTCAGATCATCGTCACATCCTACCTCTTTCCTGACTGCAAGTTCTCACTGTCCAGGCTTCAAGCGTTGGTAGACCTTGTGGGAAAAGATCGAATCGTCGTTGATCTGAGGTGAATAGCGAGTGTCTGATCCGAATGTGGCAAGGCTTTTGTTCTAGCGCTTGCCTGTTTGGCATCGCGAGCACTACTCTACACGGCTGCTGCTAGAGCACTGATCGGGACTCATCACTTGCTGCTACACGATACAGCTGCCGAAAGCGGGGCTCGGAATGGATCGTTGCGATGAACCGCTGGCAAGATCTCACGGATCTGCGCATCAATCAGCAAAGCATCAGCATGCTCTCGCAGCATTGCAGCGAATTCTTGATTCACGCTGCCGACGTGGAAGGACTTTGTCAAGGCATCGACGAGCAGCTTGTGCGATGTGAGTTGCGCAACCTGGCGACTTGTCTGTCCTGGTGTGCCAGGAATCCCGCATCTCGAGGAGGGCGCGGCACCGCCCAGGCGAGTGCTAGTCAATCCACTCACGCATGCCTCTCTGACCTCAGCTCTCGGGCAGTGGACCGATATTCCCACAACGTATGCCGGGGGAGCGAGGCACATTCAGGACCTCGAGTTGGTGCACGAGTCATCTGGCGGCAAGATCGATCTCACTTTCGGCAGGTGAGCACAACGATGCGCAACACTTGTCATGACCAAGGGAACTTTCTGACCCTCGGACCTTGTGTGCTGCTAGTGCGCTGGACATATTCGGGGGAAAGGGAGTAAAGCTGAAGGAGCTGGTGGAGTGGAATGTAAGAGGGAGCGTTCAATCAGAGTAGACCGCATGAATGAAGATGCGTCGAGGAGAAAAGATCGTGAGATTGATCGCTGCCCTCAAAGGCTGTTAAGCGGTGATCCAGTCGGCAAGAGCCGCGTGCAGCCGCGTGCAAGCGACAAATGTCCGACGCAGATCACTTGACATTCGTGTTGAGAAGCTATCTGCCACTTTGGCAAGACGGTCTGAATAGTCGCTTCTCAGCACATTACGTTGGGTGATGTGTTCGATTCTGCGGCTTCTCTAATTGCACGCGCCGCAGATTCGCACCCTTATTAGCTTTTGATCAATACGTTCTAGAATGCATCGAGCAATTTGCACCACGAACGTGCCGGCCACATTTGGCTGCGCTGGCCGTTCCGATGAACCAGCAGCACGGGAAGACGATGGTGTCCGCGCAGAGAATCCGACCAGGCCACGCCAGACCTGTGGCCCCCGACCATGCAACTGCGAGCAAGCTGCGAGGCCATGCCGAGTAAACTGGCTCATTGGAATCCGACGCCATTGAAGCGGGTGGCTTGAGTTACGAAGAAGGATGCGCAGTTCCGTCGACGCTATCCAAAGGATGAAGAGGGCGTTCTTGAGCCGCCTGTTTCGGGAAAGGGCTACGCACGGGAGATCGTTCGCGTTCTTATTGCAGACAATGGATCGTGTCTGCTCCCTCGGTGTGCTCCTTCCGCTGATCCGCGACGAACAAACAAAGGGCGCTTCCGTGAGTTCCATAGAGGCAGGAAACGTCTTTCTTTGAATTCACAGCAGAAGGTGTCTGCACGAGCGAGAAAGATGAAGTGACAGCCTGAATGCAACGGCAGTGCCTGAGGGCGGTGGTCGGTGAACGTATCCATAGAAGAAGTATATAAGCTCGCTCGGTGTGCTCCGCTTGCTGATGTCATCCTCACGTCTGTTCCTCTGCTCTTTCGCTCTGAATGCCACTTGTGACCTCACGCTTACCAAGCTCGTCCTTCACCATGCTCCTCTTCAAACGCTTGGCTGTGCTCTCGCTTCTCTCCTGCTGGAAAGTCGATGCTCTCCCCAGCATTTCGCCAGACGCCGCCGTGGTCAACAACGCTGCTGCGCTGCACGCCGCCCTGGCTAAGCGGGCGCCGCTCATTTTGCTCAGGAGCGGATCGACGTTCAACGGTCAATTCATCGTGGAACACCCCTGCACGATAGTGGGGGAGAGATCGGGCTCAGCTCCGATCCTTACGAACGCCCCCTTTACCACAAGCAGCAACGTCGATAGTGCCACGCTGTACCTCAAGGCCAAGGGCATGATCAGACTTGAAAATGTCGACGTCCTCAACACCGCTGAAGATTACAATTCAGGTCAATCTGCCCGCGGCAAACATCCCAAGACCCCCACTCTCGCCGTGGCAGTGTCCCAGAGCACCCAAGCTGTGCTTGTAGACGTCAAGCAGAAGGGTTGGCAAGATACGTTCTTGTGCAATGGTCTATGCCTGCTCGAGCGAGGCAGCATCTCCGGTTGGGTGGACATGATTTACGGTCAGTCTGTCGTGTGTACCGCAACGCTTTCTGTCAGCCGCATGTGTCAAACTTGCAAATCCTCCACATTCCTACCGCAGGGGCTGGCAAGGCTTTCTTGCAAGGCACAACCATCTACAATCGAGGCTGCGGCGGTGCTATTGTAGCTTGGCGAAGCACTACCGGAGGCTCTGTGGTGCTTAATGACGTCAACATTCTCCGTGCCAATGACGGATTTGCCGACGTAAAGGACGGCACGTGCTGGCTGGCGCGTCCCTGGGCGGTAGACAGCGTCGTGGTGGTTCAAAACAGCAACCTCGTGAGTCATGTTCCGCTGCCCTTGCTGCGCTACCGATGCTACTTCGAGTCCTGAGAAAGTTCGTGACTGCACAGGGCACCATCGTGAATCCTAAGCTCTGGCAAGCTAATGGCGCAGGTCCCTTCAGCTTCGCCAAGGGCAAGACCATCTTCGCCTACCGTGGGCTCCGTGGACCTGGCTACGTGGAGCAGCAAGTCGATCAAAGCCTCACCACCCATGGACATGACTTCTCACTGTACGCAACGCCCGCCATCTACTTTAACGGAGCGACGTGGGCCAAGGTGTGATCTGTGTACCTTGCAACTTGGCAATGTTGATCTTTCAACCACCACTCGACAGTCTCCTCGGCACTGTGTGAGAGCTTGCTGCCGGCCAACAGCGCGTAGATTGGGCACAAGCTGTCATTACTACGATTTTATCTGAATGCCGTCAGAACAATTTGGGGCGCGGCGGCGCTGGACTTGCAGATTTGTAAACCGCAGGCGCTAGCGTGCCCACATGATTTGCGTGAGTGAGCTGCGAGTAGCGCGCAATTTTTGGAAGCGACAGATGCTTCGACACGATGAGGCACGGTACGGGCACCATTATGCTGCAGCGACCTCTTGGCCCGCAGATCCAATACCGCCGTCTTCATCGGCGGGCCCTGATGACAAAACGCAAAGAGGAAGCGAATGAGCACACGCCCTGCCAGGTTCGCGTTCTACGTATTCCGCTCGAACTCACAATCATCCTCGTTGATGAATGCACAAATGACGGTTCGACCTCCAAAGTGCCTGCCAGCAAGCCCGCGCAGGGCTTGCTGACATTGGTCCACTTGTTCATATCGGATGTAGACTCGCCCTACACCCTCTCGTTCCTTGACCTTGCCCTCGGCGTCCGTCTCGCCGCTCGAGCCAGCGGCAGTCGTTTTCCAATTTTGAGCAGCAGCACCCTTGGACTGAACGACGGGCCTGGGTATGCGAATGTCCGAGATGATGCCGTACTTGGAGCACTCCTCTGCGATGTCCTCCAAAATTTCTCCGTACTCAGTGTCGTCCTCTAGTTCCTTTGGCGTGACCATGTTGAGCATCGTCATTGCTCGGGTTGGCTCGCCAGTGCCATTAGCAGCTGCAGAGGGAAGCGTCAGACCGCCTGCGCCGGGTGCACCAAGAGGTGCCATGTTGGATCCGGTAGCTCCCATCGGGTTGACATTGCGTCCTCCTGACTGACTGCTAGCCTTCTGCACGACCAGCTTGCGATCTCCAAGCTCCATTTCGTTGAGACCTGCACAAGCCACTTCAGTGAGAGTGTGGTCGACGTACTCGCAGAAAGCGTAGCCTTTGCTGGCCCCGTTGCCAGCTTCTCTGACCAAGTTGAAAGCTCTCAACTCGCCAAAAGACTTGAGCAACTCGATGACCTGCTCCTCTTGCAGATACGTTGGCAACCCACCGATATAGATTTTGTTCGGTCCATCGGGCACATTGGTGGAGATGACGCCTGGCACGTGAACATTTGAGGGAGGGTTGACATCGGGTCCAGTGTAGTCCTTTGGCCTGCGAATTTTCAAGCTTGCACCTTGGAAGATTATGCCATCGAAGCCCATCGCATTTGTAGCTTCTTCTGGAGTTCTGAATTCTAGGAAGGCCCATCCCTTGTCCGGATTGACCTGAACTGACATGCATGGTTCGCCAGGCATGGAAGCAAAGTTCATCTCCAGCATCTTGGCATTGAAGAAGGACATGAATGCGCCCTCTGTTGCCATTGGTTGCACGTTTCCAACGTACAATCTACGCAGTCCACGGGCCGCCAACGTGCCATTGAGGCCTGCCGCCTGTCGCTGAGCGTCGGTCAAGCCAGCCACATCGCTGCCCATGCGAATGGGCGGAAGGGAGGAGCCAGCATGCGTGCCAGCACCACCTCTGGACTGGCCTGGCGTGCCAAAGAGTCCTGCGCGAACGAGCAATGAAGGAGGAGCAAGTGGTCAGCGTCGGTGAAGCGACTCTAACAGGCCCTAAATGGAGCAGCGCGGTGTGTGACCTGTCTCCCAGTCTCAAGCACTCACCAGTCGCTTTGGCTTGCTGAGCCGACATCTCTTCGAAACCGGGCGGCTTTACGTCCCACTTGTTGCTCTTTCGCAGTCTTTCGCTGATGCGCCTAGTTCCTGGTGGTGTGGGACTTCGCCTCATCATCTCATCTACACGGCTCGTGGGTGGTTGTTCGCGCCAAGGATCTCCTCCTCTACGTGCGTACGGATCTTCGCGCCTGTATGCGCCATCGTTGCGATCCCGACCTGCCCATCTGTCTGCCTCATAGTCACGCGGCGCATCGTATCGCGGCCCTCGAGAGTGATCATCATCGCGTCGACTGCGCGGAGCGAGGCCCAAGTGGGTGTGAGTCAGACGCCAACTTTTTCACTGCGCCAACAGATGATAGCACCCCGTGCGCACTGATGGAGCGCGAGGAAGTGTTTTGGCCAGGAAGCACAACTCACGCATACTTGCGGTCCCTGTCTCTGCCGTAGTCCGCATCGCGGTCGTAGTCTCTTCTTCTTCGGTCATCCCTGACACCGCCCGAAGCGTACCTATCCGCTTGCCGGTCCGCGTACCTGTCACTATAGCGATCACCTCCTCGATCGTAGTCCCTGTAAGATGAGGAGTACGCAGAGCCGTGCTCGTCGCCGCCGCCGCCGCCGTGACGCCCTGCTCTCCTATCTGACCGCTCGCGATCGCGATCGTCTCGTTCGGACATGTTTGGGTGAGCCGGTCAGGTGGCCTTGCGACCAAGTAGTTGCTTTGCTGGTCCTTGTCGACAGCTGCGAGTGCGACAGAGGCGGCTTGATTAATGTAGCTGGTAGATAGAGCACGGAATTCCGAGTGGACTGACAACAGCTCGCGCAGCGTGCAGATGGTCAGAGAAACAGAGTGGTGGTAGTGATCGTCAGCCAAGCTGGTGTATGGTTTGCAAAGCAGAAATATGGCTTGGAGGAGGCAGCGAGGGAGGCACGACAGCAGTCAAGTGGGCCAGGCGCAGACTCTACGCGCGGGTGGTGGTGCAGAGGTAGCGGCTGAGGCAGACCTTGTCACACTTTGAAGTAGAAGTGTCGACCGCCGCTTCTGAGTGAGCCGCAAATCAAGAATCTGATGAAGATTCGTGAGAAATAAGCGGAACGCACAGGATGTATGCAGGCTCAATCAATAATTCACCAAAGATCGTTAGTCAAGGGAGTCGTGGTGAGTATTTGAATCTCGACACGCTTGACGAAGCAGCGTTTACGATTTCCGATATCCACACTTTGACTCTTGACTTGACTGCCATTCTTGATTTCGTGATTATGATTGATGCAGGCACGCGCGCTGTTCAGCAGAGTTGAAAATGTTCTGACCGATTCCTGCCCTCGAAAGCCAGCACAATCAAGAGTCCAACCGCTCACATCACCCTGCGCAGTCACAAATAAGTACTTCAGACCGACTCTTGGAGTCACGAGTGCTGCGCGCCTAATCGATCGGTGTAGCCCAAGCTAGAAATTGAAGGGGTGAGTGACCACGTGGGGGTTCCTGTTCACGCGTCACACCACCTCAGGCACGTGACGCGTACAGTCACTCGTCGCGGGGTGATTTGGTGCGTTGCTGCAGCATCGTGCTGCTGCATGGTGCTATACGCACGCGCGCGCTCGCGCACGGACGGGGACGCACTTTTGTTCAGCCTATGAAAAGACGAAGGCTGAAGAGGCGGCAGCAATAAGCAGGGCGGGCATGCAGGCGTGCGTGACGCGGATGGCGGACGCGCGAAAGGCGCGCGTCCGACGCCTGATGCTGATGTCGGCATGTGTGTGCTGCGCGTGCCGCTCGCCCTCTCATCCGCGTGCTGCATATGCTGCATGATGCTGCAAGCCGCACGGCGCACAGCGCACAGCGCAAATGTTGCTTTCCACCATCCAAACGGACAGACTCGCCGAGCTGCCAAGCGATACACGCGTTCAGATTGCGTCGTTGTTGTTGTTGTTGCGTTGCACCTCTCAATCGACCACCTCCCACTGTGACTCTTCCTCTCTCACGACCTATCTCTATATATACAGGCACATGCCCCGGCCACCCTGTTGTGACTCACAACTGCGCATCTCCTATTTCCTATGCAAGCACGTGTGAGACCCAGACCCAGACCCCAAACAAAATCGACGTCTTCATCGCCAACTCGCACTGCTGCTCAATCTGCATCCAGCAGCAGCATTGCTGCCTTGCGTTTCCATCCAGCAGGTTTCAGATTGTGCAAGCAACTCCTATAACATTCAACACGCGAAGCGCCTCAAACCCGACGGCGCCTGGCGAACCCCCCTCTCGATGGAGCGTAGCAGGCTTCAGCATCCATTCGATTCTTCGCATGTCTCAGCCCTGCCTCTGGAGGACCAACACTCACGACTGTAGATTTTCGCTGTCGAGTTGCAGACACGAGCACACAAAATTGGTGTACGCCGCATAGCCGTGGCAATCAGACAAGCTTAGGTAGGGCGACTTTCATCAAAGTCCTTGACTGCCATTGAGCTACCACATCAACCTTCTCGGCCAACATCAGCCACTGCCAAGTCATTCACGCAAGCTTGGATCACACGCTCACCCCAAGTGTTTGTCGCCATGGAACCTCATGAGACTCAAGCTGTTAGGCGCAAAGGCCAGATGACGGTATCCGGCGAAGCCGCCTCAGACAACCCCTCTCCACCTCTCAAATCTGGCGCCCTGTCCAATGGTGGTGCACTCGGCGAGATGACGCGAGGGTCACAGCCTCCCGCCGTCTCACACTATGCGAGGGTGAGTGGCATTCGTCTTGCTGTCAGGAACACTCTTTGTTTGCAACCTAGCTCCATTCGAGCTGCGTGCCCAGCTTGCAGGCTCAGCCAGGTCATTCGAGAGCGGTCAGCTTTCGCGAGCGCGCGCATACAGGCCCCTCATCTCGGTTCCATTCACTGAACTGCATCCTTCTCCTCGCACCATGCGCGACAGACACCGCATCACAAGTCCTCGGCCGCTGTGCCGGCTTCCACGCATGCCATGTCCATGCGTCTGGATGCAGGACCCATCATCGGCATTACCCTCATCGCCGCTGCCCTGAGATTTTGGAACATTTCGTGAGTCAGTTGTGTTGAGACGCAGTGCAATCGTGGGCTGCACCATCACAGTCATGCGGATGTATGGTCCACGCATTCATCTGCTTTCGGTATGACTATAACCACGTCTTCTTCTGCCGATCTCTCACGTTAGTCATCCAGCTCAAGTCGTCTTCGATGAGGTCCACTTTGGCAAATTCGCTGCTTACTACCTGAGGCGAGAGGTGCGTGCAAGTCAGATGCGTCGGGAAATGGAATTTGCCTGGCAAGGCGAACGTCTCGGGCATCTGCTACGATGTATGCGGGAAGAGGCGGGCACCCTCGGGCTTTGACTCTTCAAGCTGGCTTCAACCCGTCTGGCTGGACGTCCAGCGAGGTAGCCGCACCGCGGTCTTCTTGGTATAGCGCTCACCACACACTCTCTTTGCGGCTTTCCAGTACTACTTCGACGTACATCCGCCCCTCGCAAAGCTGCTCAACGCCCTTGCAGGCTGGCTCTCAGGATTCAAGGGCGACTTTGACTTTGAAAACATCTCTGACGACTACATTGCCGCAGGTGTGCCTTACGTTGGCATGCGAGCTTTGCCAGCTCTGATGGGGAGCGCGGCTGTTCCGATCGTGTATGCGATCATGAGGGAGACGGGCCACCTGCCTGCGACTGCTTTGCTCAGTGCAGCGTTGCTGGCGTTTGGTAAGTACATGGTGCTTGTCCCCTTTAGAAGAGCCGACCATGGGAACCTCTGACTAGAACCATTTGCCATCACTTGCTGGACGCTCGTATCTAGACAATGCTCACATTGCCCAAGATCGCCTAATCTTGCTAGATGCTGCACTGTGCTTGTTCATGATTGCAAGTCTGTACAGCTACATTCGATTCTACAAGGAAAGATACAAGTGCGTGCCGGATGAGTTCCAGGGACTCCAGACAACGACGAATAAAGAGCTCACGTGGCCTGCTCATCGCCCCTTTCACAGTGAATTTGCAACTCAATGGTGGTTCTGGATGATCGCGACAGGGGTCAATTTGGCCCTTACTCTCAGTTGCAAGATGGTGGGGCTGCTGACGTTCGCTAGCGTCGGCGCTGCCGTCGCGTACGATCTTTGGATACTGTTAGACATCAAGCGAGGACTCTCCATGGTGAGTGCGACGTCAACCCCAAGCTCCGACTCCGCTCACCGCCCGCATCATGCGGCAACCGCAGAATCACGTTCTCAAGCATTTCTGGGCCAGGGTGCTAGGCCTGATCATCATACCGATCTTCGTCTACCTCTTCTGGTTTTGGGCTCACTTCAAAATTCTCACTCAATCCGGCACCGGGGACGCCTTCATGAGCAGTCAATTTCAACAGACCCTCGATGGCAATTCGATGCTGAGCCAGGCACGAGGTGAGTCGCTTGTCATCTTTGCTACGCGAAGCCAAGTTCGGGCGACACGCGGCTGACTTTGGCGCACCTCTGGCAGAGCTGCACTGGGGCGATAGCATCACCTTGAAGCACAAAGGCACGGATGCGTTTTTACACTCTCATCTCGAGCGCTACCCTCTCAAGTACGACGATGGGCGAATCTCGAGCCAAGGCCAGCAAGTGACGGGATATCCATACAATGATACCAACAACGTCTGGGAGATTGCAAAGCCAGACTTGGACTGGACATCGCTACCGGACTCGGTCCCGGAGGATCAGCGGCAGATCAAGCACTTGGATATTGTCAGGCTACGCCACATCAACAGCAACGCTTTTCTGTTGACTCACGATGTCGCTAGCCCCCTGATGCCCACAAATGAAGAGGTCACGGTGTGGCCCCACAACGACACTAGCCGTTTCAACGACACGCTCTTCGAATTGCACATCGACGGCGCAAAAGACGGCAGCACAAAGGCATGGAAGTCGAAGAGCTCGTGGTTCAGGCTCGTCCACGTGAATACTCGCGTAGCTGTTTGGACTCACAAAGAGACGGCTTTGCCCGAGTGGGGCTTTAGTCAGCAAGAGGTGAATGGGAACAAGAACGCGATGGACAAGTCCGCCATGTGGTTTGTGGACGACTTGTACCCGGATGCACGTGAGTAAAAGGCGCGGCCTGTGGTCCTCCTGCTCGCACGCTCACGGCTCTGTGCTGCTCGCTGCTTTAGGCGCAAATGATTACGCCGAGCGCATCAAGCCCATCCCACCTCGGCCCAAGACGCGAATGAGCTTTCTGAAGAAGTTTGTTGAGCTGCAGCTCCAAATGCTTCAGCAAAACAACCAGCTCACTCAATCGCATCCGTACGCTTCTGGACCTCTGAACTGGCCTTTCGTGCTTCAGGGCATCTCCTTTTGGACGCAAAATGACACACAGGAACAAATATACCTCATTGGCAATTTGGTCGGATGGTGGGCTGCGATCATCAGCATTGCCATCTATTCGGGAATTATGGGAGCTGATGCGCTTGCACGCAGAAGGGGCGTAGAGCCCATCGACTCGGCGATGCATCGACGAATGACTCATGCCGGTGGATTCTTCTTCACGGCGTGGGCCTTTCACTACTTTCCCTTCTTCCTGATGAATCGACAACTCTTCATCCATCACTACTTGCCGGCGCACATTATCAGCTGCCTGATGGTCGGATGCGTCTTCAACTTTGTGGTCTCTGAAACCATCAACTTTCCAGTCAGTCGTCCGGGTCCGGGCCTCAGTCAGGCGAATTTCAAGAGGAAGCTCAACAACACGCTCAGTCCCGCCGCCAAGGCGAGCGCTGGAGTCATTGTATCTCTCCTCATTCTTTGCTTCTGGTTCTTCAGCCCTCTCACCTACGGGACACCCGGACTTACCACCGAAGAGGTGAACCAACGCAAGCTACTAGGATGGAGTCTGCATTTTGCCAAGTGAAGCGGCAAGTGAGCCCGAGAAGGTGCATCGTAAGCCCTCAAACAGAAGGAATGTATTCGTCTACCCCTTGCTCGTCATCGTCGGAAACGCAACTCGCATTTGACCCGCAGTGCTCCACGCCACGAAGACCTTCCAGGCGTGTTCCGATGCAACAGGAATTCATGTTTTCAGCCTAGTGAACCTGCGCCGGAAGTCTTTCACCGGCAGCGCCTTCCGTCGGTGATGCGACCCAACATTACCTTGACTCTTGGGCGGCAGTGATCACAGAATGTCAAGCGTTCTCCTCCTCAGGGGTATCACGTAAGTTCGGACGCCAAACGAAGCGATGACTGATCTATATGACTGCCTCTTGGCCGGTTAATTCGACTGGGAAGGCGCAGGGAGAGAGATTGTCAGAGGAGACGAGTACTAGCGCTGACGTTTGCAGCCGTTCTGCACAAGTATTCCGACTGCCTTGCTCGCCTCATCGATCTGCAGGCGTAACTCAGACTTTGTTTCCGTCCGCCTCATCGATCTGCAGGCGCAACTCGGACTTGTTTCTTCTTCGTGCCAAGCTGTCGTGAGTGGCAGCATATTCGAAGGCACGGCAAAACGGACCGTTGAAACGATCGACACACTGGGCAGCTGAATCGCTATCGACGCACTGCCAGATGGTTGCGGGATTGCCCGCTGAGATTTCGACTGGCAGCACCTTCTGGCGCTCAGACCTGAGCATGAGCCGTGACGCTGGATGGGCCAGATCGCCAGGCGGGCGTATTGCTTCCGCGGGGTGCGTCTGTGCGACTGCTTTTGCCGCCAATCGTGACTGACCCGCACGTTGGCTTCTTTCTGTCCACCCTACTACTGTCCTTGGTCCAGAAAATGTTACGCGTCCTTCAAAGGCGCTACTCGTAAGTAGCCCCGCCTCAGCCACGAACGAGGCCGATGCTATGGATTCGGCGGCAGGCCTCAGCTCAACCGCCGCTGATAGCGCTCGAAAAGGCGCTAGCAAAGCTGCAGTAGTAGCAAAACACGCTTCCCCGCTTTCATGCATGCTTCTCATTCCGCTCCGCACCGCCGCACAACGCGCACTTTAGTGCATCCGCGTGCACCCGCACGGTCTCACAGGGCCACGACAGCTTGGCAGCGCAACAGGTACCGTCCCGCTGCAGCACACCCAGATTGAACCCGGACGAGCAAGTCTTGACATCCATCTAAGCCCCTCCCGGCGCCACTTTAACCCCACACTTTACGGACCGTCTCGCAGCGAAGCATTGCTTTCACGCGCTTTGATCGCCCTAATCGACGCATGCCGACGAAGAAAGCCAACAAGAGCTTCCCTCGCCCAAGACTCAAGCTCCTTCCCCCTTCCTCACTCGTCATTGAGCCTCTTGGTCCCTAGCCGCGACGCACTCCAGCGTTGCGGCGATTGGAACTGCAGGCGCTAGGTAACGCTCTGCTGCTCCAGATCGCCATCCTTCCCACGCTTGAGGCTTGATTCGGCATCCGTACGTTCCGGCCGCGACCTCTAGCGTGCGAATAGCGGAATATGGCAGTCCGTTGAGCCCGGTGTCTGTGCTCTCAAAGCGCATTTCCAACTCACTACACCTGCATAATAGCGCTCCAGGATTCAGTGCATCAAGCAGGGCGGGAATGTCTCCGCGCTCTCTCAGGGGCGGGGCCGAGCAAGTCACGCTCCAGACGCGCTCCTCGCGTTGTCGTATGGTTCACCTCCTCAAGGGGCTTGCAAGACGGCCTTTCCACGATTTTGACGCTGGGACGAGGTCTGGCGTGGGCATGCCTAAGCAGAGCAAGTGCGTGCATGCAGCGCTCGATGTCTATAAAGCCCGCGTGGTATTCGCAATCCAGGCGGAAACGTCGCAAAGTCTCCCATCCCCACCCCCCTCCGACCCCGCGACGTGCAGTCTCATTCCCGTCCCCTTTCCAGTGTCTCCACTTTCACAATGAAGCTCACAGCATCCTTCCTCGCTCTCGCAGGCTCCCTGGCGCTTTTAGCTGAAGGTGCTTCCATCGAGCCTCGCCTCGCTGGTCGCTTGAAATATCCGCAACCTAGCGTCGATCCTTTCTACAGAGTCCCTAGCAACGTTGCATCCTACGCCAATGGCGCTATTATTCGCGAGCGTGACGTCACAGCAGATGTCGCGCTAGGTGTCGACTCAAACCAGTACTCCAAGGTGTACCAGCTGCTGTATCGCTCTCAGACCGGTCTCGGAGCACCAGATGCGACCGTTACGACCGTGTTCCGGCCCAAATCTCCCAAAAAGGGCGCAGCGCAGGTCGTGACGTTTGCGGCTTTCACCGATTCTGCTGCCAAGGATTGTGCGAGCTCCTATGCGCTGATCAAAGATTCCGGCAGCCAGCAAGACACGATCGTCAAATTACAGACCCCCTTCATCAACGCGCTCCTGCAGAAGGGATACTATGTGAGTCGTCGAGGCAAAGCCTTCAAGATGTGTGGCGCTTAATCCGCAAGCGCTTTCATCGATTCGCAGGTATCCGTCCCTGATTACCAAGGCTCGCAGGCAGCGTTCATTGTGGGCCCTCAAGAAGGTCGGGCCCATCTCGACTCCACGCGCGCCATCCTCAACCATCGGCCCACTATCGCCGATCCTACAGGCCACCAGGCAATTCTGTCCGGCTACAGTGGTGGTGGTCATGCTGCAGCCTGGGCTGCCCAGCTGCGCAAAGAGTACGCGCCCGAGATCAACGTTGTTGGAGGCTCATTTGGTGGCGTCCCAGTAGACCTCAAAGCGACGCTGCTGAACCTCAACAATGGCGCGTTCGCTGGCTTCGGCATGGCCGGTCTCGCTGGAGCGGCCAATGCTTATCCAGAACTTGTGACTCTTTTCGACGGAGAACTGAAGCCGAACGGCACCGAAGCCTTCAAGTTCCTCCGATCTGACCAGGGTTGCGTCGTCGGCGAGCTAGCCAAATTTGCCGGCGTCGACTACTTTGGCTACATCAAATCTGGGCAGGCGCTTCTGGACGACCCTACGGCCAAAAAATACTTCGAAATCAATCGTTTGGGTTCTCGTGGTGCTCAAGACTATCTGGGCTCCGACATTCCTTACTACATTTATCATGCCAAGAACGATCAGGTCATTCCAAGACCTCCGGTTGACGAGTACGTAGCTTTGCAGTGCGCACAGGGGGCGCGCATCGAATACTCTCTCAACCCAGTCTCCGAACATGTAAGCGAGACGGTGGCTGGGGTTGCTGGCCAGGTCGATTGGATTAACAAGGTGTTCGAAAGCAAGCTGGTGCAGCCCGCTTGCCTCAATTCCACCCACTGAAGCTTCTGACGGCCGGACGGATCCATCTCCATCGTAACGTGTTCAGCTCCAATGTTTTCTTTGCTCGCCGCTGTCATCGTAGTTCGCCGATTCACTCCTCGTTCGCTATCGAACCCACTATTTCTTCCTCGCTGCACCATTCTCACTCCTTGCGCTTCCTTGCTACCGATACCCATACCCATACCCGTACTTGTCAGTGTGACGGCTGACTCGACGAATCCGTTGCGGTATAATAGGGTCCTTCACGAATGTACGAATGTGAATAGGAGGGCCCGCGCTGTCTAGTTCCAACATCTGCGTGGCCTCTTCTCCCCGGGATTAATGCAGCAATGTGCCCGTGGAGCCGAGACGGATAAGGAGTCGGTAGGCGGATGGGGATGTGCCTGGTTCCCTCCTCCTATCAGCAAAGAAGTGATGGATGGGTCTCAAGATTGACTTTCAAGATTGCACACCCAAGGATGCTGAGCATGGATGCACCAACAGCCGTGTGCAGCTAGCTACAAGCAAGTGATTGCCTCGTCCGTTCACTTCATACAAACGCACGCCACACACACTAACTCTGGATCGGTAGTGTCGTGGGTGCATGACGGCGAATCAGTGTCACAAGTCAGTGCAGAGACCCCATCCTTTGTAGTTCACTGACGCTGAAGTAGGATGTTGCAAAAGGAGGAGTGTGCAGACTCTTCAGTAATGCACTCAGGTTTCCTGGCCCTGGCGAAGCCATGGTGCAGACGGTGTGCACGGAAGACAGGCATTGCGTGCCGTGAGGCACAACTTGCTGGGCGACGCGCCGACTGGCCAGGGCAGAAACGACACGTTGGTCGTCTTGGCAGATCGACGAACGCAGCACGCTGAAAATTTCAGCCTAGGCACTACGGCGTTTGCACGAACGCGGTCGATGTGCGAGCTGATGGAAGTAAGGCATAGATGCGTCCGGCACAGGACATGAGGTCTTCCATGCACGCTCCCTTTTGGTAGAGATCGTCGAGCTCGCAAGGTGCAGCTACTCATCAGAAAGGCCCACGAGTGCAGCTCGCTTTTCGCCCTGGTCTGACCACACACACATACTTGGGGCCCAACTCATTTACCTGGTCAGTGAGGCTGGGGCTACCCAGCAGGTCGTACTGCACCCTGAGATTGGCAGGACAGGAGACTGGCCAGGGTGCTCTTGATTCTGGACCTTTATCCGCTATAAAGAGAAGGGAACCGTGACCAGAGATTTTCTTTCAGGACACTCTCCACTAAGCGGCGCAACGCGCCCTTCGAGGCTGCTATCCGACCTTGACTTTGTCAGAAACACCACATCTCCGCGGATCAATCAACACTGAATGAAGCCCTCGGCGGCAAGAACTTCTCTCATTGTTGACCATTTCTCGTCCCCTCTGTTGACTCTCACTCCAAAAGCTTCACACCCGAGACGGCGTTTGAGACAACAAAAGTGCCGCCGGGGGGGGGGGGGGGGGGGGGGGGGGGGGGGGGGGGGGGGGGGGATGTTACGTGACGTGGCGCGCCTATATAGGGCGACCGCATCGTGCATCCACATACAGCAATACATGCTTCACTACCTCCATCATCTCGTATGACACCTGCATTCCAGCAGTGCTGTCTCTTGACGATTAAGTAAGGCTCTCGCTGAGAAGCGTCCGTGCTAAGGTCCTGCATTCTGCACATTGCTGACCAAGCGCTCGCACCCTGGCCTTGAGGCTCATTGCTCCCGAAAGCCAGGTAATGCGCTATCCACGGTGGTCGTGGACTGTCCCAGTCGTCGTGCTTTATTAATGTCGCGGCTTGCGTCTGTCATGGGGGCCCCCACGTCGCGAGCCGCTTCCGCTACGTTGCTAATGACCTTTTTCATCACATACACACTGACACATGTTGCGGGCCGGGCAGGTCCCCACGCATTACATCAGGCTTGCCATGCTTGCGCTATGTAAAGGCCCTCTCTGATCAAGCTGCTCCTCCCTCTGTACCTACATGGCCACAGTGCTGTTGCCTGAGGCATGAAAGGACCTACACCTCGCACCAAGTTCACTTTTGGGATACTTGACTTTTGGGCTAAAAGTATCCATTTTTTTTTTTGTTCCTGACAACCTATTACTAATTCTCTGTCCGCCAAGTCAGTGTCATAATGCTTCTGTCACTGTGCATCTGTCCTTCCTCATGCCAGTTACTCTGCCCTCTCCCACCGCACCTCACTAACAGCGGAAACGTACATCATCTGAGCAGACCTATGACGCAGCCATCCGCTAAGCAGAGACACCCACTACGACTGCATCGCTGCTTACCGAGTAAGGTCCACAAAGAAATGGCACTTCGAGCGCACAGGTGGAGTGACCCGGTGACCGGCTGATCAGACCATTTCTAAGAGCGAGTGCGCGCACGTGACCATCACCAGACCTCTGTTGATGCGTTGAGGTAGCATCAGTGAGCTACGCATGACCTACGTCACGTCAGACGCTCTACGAGCATTTGACCGAGGTGCAGCAGTCCTTGTGTTGGGGCTGAGTGCTCGCAAAAAGCGCTGTCCTCCGTCGCTCTTGAAGGTGCAGAGTCATAGTCGTGCCAGCTGCTTCTAGTTCTTGCCGTGAATCGCGGTTCCGCAGAATTTGCGGGAAAGCATGTGTGCTGCAAAGCACATTCTGGTGAAATTTACGCGAAAATGAAAAAGAATTATAGGTGCACTATAGCATGCAACTTCATGGGAAAAAAAGGCACAGTGCAAAAGCTGGCAATGCATTCAGATGTAATGCAAAGTTAGCCTGAGCGCATGTCATTTCCGAGTTCCGACGCACGGTGTCGTCATCCGGGAACAACTTTCCATCTGCAGCAACTCCGGTTCGTCCGTCGAGAGCTGGGTGTCTATTTGATCACGTGATTGGCGATGGTTGTGTGTCGACTTGTGAGACGTCATCGGAGGTGATGACGTTGCGTGTTCTCTTGAACGACCATTGTCGGGACAGCTCCGGTGTTGAGCTCGCTTGCTTGCAGGCTGAGCTTCGCTGGGGTGACGACGACGATGAAGGGATTGAGCAGCGTCTCGACGCAGTTCTCCTTCCGCAAGACTGTCTGCCAGCTCGTAAGGGCTAGCAGTCAGCATTGCTGATGCACATTGTGGACATGCTTGCCGATGGCCAGACCAGAGGAGAGTGTGAACGCAGTGAAAGATACGACGGGATGGTGGTGGTCGTGAAGAATGATCCGGCCGTCATCTCGACGAGTCTTTATAGACGCACGCAATTCGTGTCGCTTTCGCTCGGGCCCTTCGAAATAGGGGCTCGCGCCGAAACGCCGAAATGAAGCGCGTTGGCGTGGGCTGAAGGATCGGCGAATGAGGAGGATGACGGCGGTGGCGTGGGAAAGATCGACGTATTAGTAATACGCCGATTTTTACTGCGCCGCCGGCTCATCAATCTTTAGATCCATGCAATCATGGAAGCTAGTCAGAAAACGCCTGTGCTGTGTCAAAGCAGCGGGACGGGGGGAAGAGTGGTGGGCGCACGACGCCCACTCCACCCCACTGGATAGCTACCTGGTTGATTCTGCCAGTAGTCATATGCTTGTCTCAAAGATTAAGCCATGCATGTCTAAGTATAAGCAACTTATATTGTGAAACTGCGAATGGCTCATTAAATCAGTTATAGTTTATTTGATGGTGACTTGCTACATGGATAACTGTGGTAAATCTAGAGCTAATACATGCAATCAAGCCCCGACTT